GGGTGGGAGGGGGGGGGGTGGGGGTGGTTGGGGGATGCAGTTTGGGGATGATGCAGTTTGGGGGGATGCATTTTAGGGGATGCAGTGTGGGGATGCAGTGTGTGGGGATGCAGTTTGCGGGGGTGCAGTTTGGGGATGATGCAGTTTGGGGGATGATGCAATTTGGGGGATGATGCAATTTGGCGGATGCAGTTTGAGGAATGATGCAGTTTGGGGGATGATGCGGTTTGGGGGATGATGCAGTCTGAGGAGATGCAGTTTTGGGGGGTGTCAGGTGTGGATCTCAGCATCCTTTACCAAGAATGCCCCGGTGACATCGGTCCCTGGACACCAGGACGCTGCCCTCTGTGATGCCCCTCTCTCAGGGCAGAGGAGCCAGGACATTTGTCACACGCAGCCACGGTGACACTTTTGGTTCCCCCTTTTCCACTTTTGCTTGGAAAATGAAGACTTTTCAGTCCGAGTTTTCAGCCTGCACACGCCATGGGTTGGTTTTTTTTTTCCCCTTCTCGTCATATGTCTCTGACACAGAGCCCCCGCCGCTACCTCATGTCCTGTCATGTGTCAGCTGCCAAATTAAACAATCGGCGTTATCTCCACCCCTTTTGCCGTGAGGAGCCGTGTGGGCGCGGGCGCCTGCGCCTTCTCCTTCCTCCCGCCGATGCTCGGGCACACAGCGCCCGGCTCCACGCGTTGCAGGTTGATGGACGAGCCATGGCCGCTGTCGCTCGCCCTCCTCTTCCTCCTCTTCCTCCTCCGAGGCAGTAAGTGCAAGAAATGCTCATTTTTCCCCCCCCTTCGTGGGGTCTCGGGGTGGTTTTGGGGGCTCCTGGGGGAGCAGGAGGCTGACGGCTCCGGGTGCAGGTGCAGCTCCACGGGGATGGAGTTTGTCCTAAAGAAACTGGGCAAACTGGGGTGGAAAAATCCCGGCATGACCCCTCATGCTGTGTGTGTCCGTCCCCCTCTCCGTCTGCAAAGGAGTGAATGCATCAGGTCTCAGCTCCAGCTGCTGCCAGATGTTTCCCGTTCTGCTCCGCATTTGGGGTCCACTCCCCACGTGTTGTCCTGGAGTTTTCTGCACCGTTGTGGGGTATTTTGGGGCTGTTTGAAACTTTCTGCCTATTTTCAGGCAACGTTTCCTTCCTTGCAGCCCCGAGGAGGGTTCTGTGGCTGGGCGAGCCTCCTTATCTGCTTTTACAGCAGAATTTCCTCCACGTCTATCTCCCCAAGTAGCTTTTCCACCCCGACAGATGGAGATGTTCATTCTCCGGGGTCATCTCTGATGTCCCGGAGGCATCCCCATGGGGTTATGCAGAGGGGAACCCTAAATTTGGAGCCTTGGGGAGAGGAGACAACCTCGGAGTTGCTCAGTTCCCTTTCCTGGCACTGGGGACAAGATCTCCGTCTGCAGCCCAGACTGGGCAGAACTGAATTTACTTCGTAATGCCAAGTAGTGAAAATAAGAACGAAAAACATCTTCCTCCTTCTCCGAAGCGAGGAGAAGCTGCTACACATTTAGGGAAGAAGCCACCTGGTTTCTTGTTTGTTTGTCCAACGATGCTCGACCTTTCCGAGCCATCGAAACCTTCATTTTGGCACCTCGGGGCTCTGTCCCTTTCATGTAGGAAGCCGTGGGGGTGTCCTGATGCCCTCGGGGGACACGAAGGCACGGGACCACCCGAGGGACCTCAGCCCAGAGCCTCGGAGGTGTTTGGTTTATCTAAAATAAAAAGGGATCCCCCAATTCTATGAATTCCTGCGGTCGCTCAGTGATGGAGCGGTCCCTCAGTGCCCCCCGCATCCAGGGATGCATCCGTGTCCCCAGGGATGCCCCAAAGCGTTCAGGCGCGGTGGGCTCAGACCCAGCAGACCAAAAAGTCATCGTTGGCCATTGAGATCAACCCAGGCCTCCGTTTCAGAGCCAGGCAGAGGAGCGTGGTTATCTCAGTGCAAACATCTTCTGTGAGAGCTGCTTCGCTGCCTCGCTGGCATCCCTCGGGCTGACTCAGACATGCCCTGTGCCCCGGCAGGCGATGTGCCATGAGTCTGTGCCAAAGCGATGGCACGGTGAGACACTGGGAGCACTGGACACTCCCCACAGCCGAGCAAAGGCAGTGGGGATATTGACTCATGGATCAGCTTGGCCCCATGGATCAGCCTGGCCCCGTGGATCAGCCTGGCCCCATGGATCAGCCTGGCCGTGGCTCCCGTTTTAGCCAAGAACCTTTCCCCGCACTCC